AACCCCAAGCAGCATTAGCAAAATAGAGGAGTGCTGGGCATTACAATCCAACAACATGTAGAGCAGGGGTAGGCAACCTTTTTGAGCCCGGGGCCGGCTTGCTGTCCCTCAGACAATTGGGGGGGCCGAAGCACCAAAAATAAATAAATAAATAAATAAATATAAATAAAAATTAAAAATTAAAAAAAATTAAAAAATTAAAAAAAAATATGCATGCACACTCTCTCAGCCCCAGAAAAGCCATGGCAAAACCCTGGTGGAGATTTTGGCAAGAAAACCCCAAGAACAAGTAATAACAACAATAATCAATATCATCATGGCAGGCGGCGGGGGGCGGCGGCGGCAACGGCGGCAGGACTGGCCTGGGGCCGGTCCAAAGGCCTCAGGGGGCCGCATCTGGCCCCCGGGCCTTAGGTTGCCTACCCCTGATGTAGAGTAAAAGGGAGTCCCTCTTACTCTCATGCCTGTTTGGGAGCTTCTCTCCACCCCTCCCCAATAGGAGTAAAAAAAAATCCAAAAGCCAACCTTTGCTAAGTTCTCTTCCAAGTGGCTAGAATTCAGAGACATAGATTAAATTTGTACTACAGAAATAATGCAGTTTGACACTGCTTTACCTTCCATGACTCAGTGCTATAGAAATCTGGGATCTGTAGTTTTGGGAGGTATGTAGCCTTTGTCAGGGAGTTCTGGTGTGACAACAAATATGTCAACATATTGCAATGTAAAATTAAGATCTGTAGAACTGCACAATCATGATGTGTGTGATGTGTGTGTGACAAGGCCAGGACATGGTGATAAATGTCCTTGAGGTGGACAGACACCGACATGTATATTGAATACTGCACATCTGAATATGTATGACTAAGCAATGTGCCATGTACTGTAGAGTTACATCAGTCAAGTGTATATAAGGCTGTGACTAATGTAAACTATTATGGGTTATTGAAGAATTGTCAGTGAGAAGAGTGCAGTTATGGAGAGTGCAGTTGCCATTTTTATAGTGAGTATTCTGAGAGTTCTAATTTAGCTCTCTGTGGCTGTGAGCTACTGGATAGGAAAAGAAGTGTATCCTTCCTGGAACTCTGTCTCTTCTGTTTCTGCTTCTGTAAATAGCATCTCTTTAGGGGGAAGCAGATGGGAGGCATGGGGCCACCCCAGAAAGATGCAGATCAGGGCCGAGGCATCCGCATTCCTCGGCCCCACAGCGCAGCTTCGCCGCCCCAGGAAGGAGTGCTAAAATAGCGCTGCTTCTGCAAATTGCTGAAGGTGCACCACAAAAGGCTGCTGCCACACCTTCAGTGCCTTTTCTGCTGCAGAGTGTGTGGATGCTGCAGCAGAAAGGCATCCTCGGAGTGCTGGCCATGCGGAGGGCCGGCTGCTCTGACGACGTTGTTGGGAAGGGGTTGGGGCACCCAGCTTGTGGCTGCCCCTCCCCTTCCTTGTCCTGAAGACGGCACTTTGTGCCATCTGCTTCCCCCCTTTTATCACCTGTAAATAAATATCTTCACCATGAGCAGTCTGATTCAGCTTCCTGATTTCAACACAGTATCTCAAGGTCAGGGTGAGATACTGAAATCATGTTCGTGCCTTGTTCCCAGCATGACAAAGCCAACTTTTGCTAGGTTCTTTTCCAAGGGGCTAGAATTCAGAGACATAGACTAAATTTGTATTACAGAAATAATGCAGTTTGAT